CCGGGCCTGCGCCTCTCCGACATTTCTTTATTGACCCCCCTTTTACCCGGCCAGCCCTGGGCATGGCAGGGGTGGGGGGAGCGGGGTCGGCGTGAGGAGAGGAGATAAGGGACAGGTTTCCTTCAGTGTGTGGTGGTGGTTGGCTTTCGCTGGGAAACGCGGGGCTGGGAAGCACAGTTATTCCTTAGGAAGACTTAGGGTTCTCCCTCCCAGTCGGGACCCTTGCCCTTCCCATTAGGACGGTGTGAGGGTAGGGGAGCTTTGATGAGCGCTGCTCAGCCTCCTTCAGCAAAACAGAAAGTTGCCCTGGGAGGGGAAGTTGAGTTCAGGTCCAGCCAGGGCCTTAGGCATTTATTTTCCGTTGGATGCAGGAGGGGGGAGTCCGAGTTGGGCGGGAGGAGAGGGTGAGGGAGCTAGGAAGAAGAGCAGTTGCTAGGGGCTCACACGAAGGAGGGCATGGGGTTCTGCTCCGAGTGTTTTTGATTGAAACAGAAAGGGAAAGATAACCAGGCATTTCCTGCGTGCCTGCCGTTGGGGCGCACAGAGGATCCTGGGCAAACCCCTGGCCACGGCTGTGCCCCGCACCCCTTAGATTTCGCCCAGACCCTGGGGAGGAGATCCCAGATCTCCCGGCCCCTCCCTCCAAGGAGCTGGCCTCTTCCAGCTGTTAGGCTTCCTGCCTCCTTTTAAAAGTCGTTTCTAAGGCAGCTCGATCCGACCCGGAGGCTGACTGCAGCCCGCCTGGTGATGGAGCGAGGAGGACATGACGGGGGCGTGTTCCTTGCTGTGTGGCTGGCTGCGGCTCCCTCTCCCTGCCTCTCTGCTCTCTCCACCTCCTTTCCCAGCCTCCAGAAGGCAGCTGTAGTCAGCAGGGTTGCTTGAGACTATGTTGGATGCTGTAGATGACTATTTTTTTTGAAAGGCCAATTCTGTATTTTTTAAGCTAACAACACAGATCCCATGTAGTTGGAGAACCAAAGGCCTCATACATGACAAAAAGACTGAACCGTTCAGGTTACTTGCATGGAGTTGGTGCTTAAATGTGAGTTGATTTTGCTTTTCTAAAAGATACAGCAGCAAAAAAAAAAAAAAAGACATTTCATTTACCTGCTTATTTTTAAAATGGAGACTTGCCTGGCTATATGTGGAATTTTAGCCCCATGTATATTTGCGTATGATAAAGTCCCTAATAGGAGAAGTTAGTCTATCGTAAGGGGACCCTGAAAAGCGTTTCCTCTGGTTTAGCATGCTGATGTGTTTTGTACAGAAGGATCGAGTTCACATCCCACATGTTATCACATATTCAAAAACAGGGTTTCCACAGTTCCCCAAGGCAGCATCTTAAGAGACTGGCGAGAAAGAGCCACCTGGATTCAGGGACCTAATGTCTGGGCACCAGGATACTCCATCTTTGGTCTTTGATGCACCACCTTTCAAGTTCTCGTCCGTGCGCACGGCTTCTCACCCACGGCATTGCGCGTCGCTGCGGTACCCAGTGAGGGAAGCCTGTTCAGGAATTGCAGTTGTTTCAAATAAGTTTTTTCATATTAGTAAGGTTTTTGTCCCTGAACAGTAGTTGCTACTTCATTCTGAGAAGTGTGGTTCACTGCTTACTCAGACGCCCGTCCTTTTTCTGCATTGGGCTGGAATGAGCTGTTGTTTCGTGGGTAAGCTTTTCATGTGATAGTTGAGGCGCCCTCGCCTGGGTCGGTGGTTTGGATTCGCGCTAACCCATAGTCTGGTTTATTGCTAACCCGCCATGCTGATGCCCTTTGACCGCGTCGTCTTCAGTGTAGACACCAAGCGTTTTGTTACAGGGTCTCACAGGCCGGCGGCGAGGCGGGCGGGGTGCTGGGAGCTCCCCGGGCAGCGCCCCCGCAGAAACCCGCGGTGGTTTCCGGATTCGTGCGCAGCTCTGTCCTCTCACTTGGATTCACGAACACGTGGCTTGTGACCCGTGAATCAGGATTGTAACTTGGTCACAACAAAACCTAACGTAATACTAAGAGAACGAGTGAGCGGAGGTGGGTAACGGGGAGCAGAACTTCCAGGTCGCTTCCCTGTTTAAACTCGTTCAGCCGCGGGAGGCCTGTCCTTCCTTGACGCGTGTTCCTAACTTCCCGCCTCCGATCGGATCGCTCTCTTGGTAGCAGCTGCACGTGAGTTCTTTTTTTTTTTTTTTTTTTAAATATATTTTATTGATTTTTTACAGAGAGGGAGGGAGAGAGATAGAGAGTTAGAAACATCGATGAGAGAGAAACATCGACCAGCTGCCTCCTGCACATCCCCCACTGAGGACGTGCCCGCAACCCAGGTACATGCCCTTGACCGGAATCGAACCCGGGACCTTTCAGTCCGCAGGCCCACGCTCTATCTAGCACTGAGCCAAACCGGTGTCGGCTGCACGTGAGTTCTTGAGGGCCACATTCTGTCAGAATGGGGTTATTTACAAAAACATAGGTGTTGCTGATCTGTTCTGGCTTTCTGTGTGACAGCTAGGAAGTAGCATTAAAGTTTGATTTTCTTAAAAATGTATTTTTATTGATTTCAGAAAAGGGAAGAGAGAGAGAGAAACATCAGTAAGAATCATTGATCGCGCCCTAACCGGTTTGGCTCAGTGGATAGAGCATTTGCCTGCGGACTGAAGGGTCCCAGCTTCAATTCCGGTCAAGGGCATGTCCCTTGGTTGCGGGCACATCCCCAGTGGGGAGTGTGCAGGAGGCAGCTGATTGATGTTTCTCACTCATCGATGTTTCTAACTATCCCTCTCCTTTCCTCTCTATAAAAAATATCAATAAAATATATTAGAAAAAAAAGAAAATACTTATCAATGTAAAGAAACAGGAATATGATCCACA